TACATTTCTTTCATAACTTGCACAACACCTGGGTAAAAAAAAAAAAAAAAAAAAAAACACAAACAGCCACCCCCTATTTATCAAGTATTATAGTCTTATGCCCAATGCCAAGAAAAAAAAGAACAAAACAAATTCACAACTCTTTTCAAGTGCTAGGAAAAAAGTCCACATTTTAAGTCAAGCCAAAGTATACAAACTCCCCACAGAACACAAAGAATTATACTTGAGGGTTTATTCCAATGTGACAAATGACACAGATAGAACAAACCAAGCCTTTCCCCAGTCATTTTCCACTGAAGTTGTGACATTGTAAACCAGTAAGAATTGTTCAAACAGATGAGTCTTCCGGGCAAATCACCTTAGAACATAACCAAGCAAAGGAAAAATGAAAGCTTGAAGCTGCAACAAGATTAAAATACTAGCACTGCTACCAAATCTGATAAGAAACAGTCAACACTGAATACAATTTAGAAAATCATTCAAGTTTTTTTCTGCCACAACATCCAAAACAAATACTGATAGTAACAGGTTTTTTTCCTAAAAATTCCATTTGCTCTTAGATGAACGATGATTTCACAGAAATTGATCTGCTTTTCAAATTATTACACACTTCAGTGCATATGCAATTTCATTTGAAAGCAAGTATTTCATTATGAATGTGGAACACAACTGATTGAATGTAATCTGCTGAAAGGTGTTTTTAAGAAAACACCATCAGTGATCCCACAAGCAGATAGAAAAACCATCTGTATTTTGGCTGTGACTGCCAGGTTACTGAACACCACTGCAGTAGAATGACCTCTCTCCATCTAGTCTGTGACTTTTCTGCTTGCTTACAAAGCCCCCCGTTTTATACAACTCTCTGAAAAGTGCAAAAGGAGAAGTAATTTTTTAGATCAGGATAAAAACCGGATAATTCATTGAAGATGCTTTTAAAATACAGCTACTTTGAATTCAGACCCTATATAAAATGAAACCCACCTGAAATTCAAGAACTAACACTTCTTGAGAACACAAAGTTGTACATAAGCTTAACAGAGATGGCATTTTTCACTTTAGTGCTACGCTTGCTATTGTGAAATGATACTTGAAAAGGGAGAAACATTCAACGTAGTAATCAATGGGGTGTAAGAATACTGAAATGTTAGTTCCACTCAACATTAAACTGAGACAGGTAGTGTGATCCATGCAGTTTAATTAATTTTCAAAAAGAGGAAAATAACAAGAAAAATGCTAAACAGTGATAACTCATTGCACAACTTGAGTTATATGGTTTACTAATAACACTGTGGTTTTTATACACTGAATTTTGGGAGATGTATTTCAGCTTCTCATGTTGAGAAAAAGGCCTCAGTGATGTTTTTGCTGGAAGTTGTGCATGAGTCTCTTGGATAATAATACCACAGTGCACTGACTGACACAGCACAGAAGTTGCTGGCCAGCTCTCCACCTCACACAGAATGAGAGATACCAGAGAACCATCTACGCTGTCAGGTTAAACTCACATCATTTGTCTGAAGCTGGAGAGACGGATTTGCTAAGCACTACCAGCACACTCATAATCTGAAAGCCTTTCAAAGGACAACTTTGACTGACACTTCCAGATTTGGCGGACTACAAGAACCTATTCCAGAAATGTTTTCAACCAACACCTTCAACATTTGCATGCACGAGTCTAAACAAGTATTTCAAAACTCATCTTCCCATTCAGGAAGAATGCTTCTCACATGGGAACTGGCACCACCACATCAGCACACATTTAATTTCAACAAAGTGATTCTTGGTCTTTCAGGAGAACAAGACAGCCAATATCACCCCTCAGACAATATTTTAATCTACTGTGCCCATACGTAAGTAAGAGTCTGCAGAACATTTGTATTATCTACATGACTGAAGTACAGTTTCAACTTGCAAGAAAACAGACAATAACAGAAAAGTTTGGCAGGGATTTGAAAATAATCCCTAATAACAGTTTACTACACTAGGCAGCACCAACACTTTCCAGTTTATTTTTCTGTTTGAGTATGGGCAGCAATATGGACAGGAAAAAATATTGCAAACGCACAAGCCACAGATATTTCTACTGTGTAACTTAAAACACTTGCAGTCAAAAGTGGTCCAAAAGGTGCTTATGAAAACATTTCAGGCTTTGTATGAACTGTCTCTTAATTTCACGCTCCATTTGTTACCTGCCTTTTACCATGAACATACCATGTAACAAAAGTAACTCCTTCACTTGCACTTTAGTTGCCCTTCTGTGTGCACACACAGGTACAAGCACACCAGGCACTGCTCCTACTTCAGCTCCCAGCAGTGGGAACAGCAGCATCATACAGATGCTCCTGGAGCAAAATGCGTCATATCATAGTTGAGTTGGATGACTAAGCACATAAGACAGACTTGACATTATCCAAAATTTACTAGATTTGATCATTTACTCAATGTTTCAATCATCTCAAAAATACCTTTGGTGTCAAATAAGTAAGTCAAAGGCTTTTGCTTGTGTTGTTAGTGATTTTGCTGAAACATTGCAGTTGTGGAAGTAAAGATGTGAGCTATCATCCCACATGGAGATACAGCTCTTTGAAAAATAACTCAATAAAACATCTAAGTTTCCTGTACTGCAGTACACAACTCTTGCCCTAACCAAGAGTACTTTTGCAGGTCATACTTTGAGGCTACTTACGCTATTTAAAAATACACACAAAATGAATCACCACAGGTTTGAGTCAGGCGAAGGCGACTACAGACCACTGCAAACAAAAACTAAACTTCATTTCAGCGCTACGTAATTTTTGAGAGGGGACAGAAGGAGACAAGCTACTATCAGATAACCTTAAGAATCACATTAATGTGTTCTCTTGGATGACTTCAAAGGAATCCTTTTTTTCTCTCAGGATTATTCTTTACTCTGCAAGTCAATTGACAGACATCAGCCCAGGCATATCACCAAAGCTGAGCAGAAAAGAAGGCACATTCTCACCACACCTATTCAACTTCTCTAGTCTTCCCCAAGATGACAACTAATGGAAGGAAAAAGGAACCTCAGTGAGATCCAGGAAAGAACAAGAATGGCCACAGATCTCACAATGCCCCCTTTACATTTATCTGCAATCACTTACAGCAAAGGTTATGGCCCAAGCCAGATGAAAAGATATCACAAAAGTATAAAATCATAATAAGAATTCATCACACTTGTTCAATTCACTGTACTTAAACCAAAACATTTACCATTAAGGGTAGACTTAAACGCTGATTTTATTATCCTTTACTAAAGTGTATAAAATTTGGCACCTTGGTAGTTTTATGAACTGAGACAGTCCATATATACATTAACAGAGGCTGTTATGGCATTCTTCAGATTGTTGCTTTCAAGAGACACCATTCACAACACAGGACAAAGGGCAAGCTTTAACAAATGTTGTGAAACACTTTATTTTTAAGAATCCTGTTCCTCTCTCTACAAAGAGGAAATGAATTCAATATTTCTTCTTTTTACAAGAAATATGTTAACTGAAAATACACTTGCAGAGGGGCAGAATAAAGTATTGCTTTTCTCACAGATCTGGAAAACGAAATAAAAATTACCAGAACAGTGACTGGCCTTTGACCACAGAAGCCTTACCTGTAACTTTTAAGAGTTCTGTTATACTGAGCACTCCGAAAACAGGAGTGGTCAAGTGGACCTGCCACAAAACATGAGCCCATAAAGAAATACTACTCAATTTTGTCACAGCGAACACCTGCACTAAAAATAACAGACACGTTTTGATACATCAGCAGGATGGGTTGACCCGACCCTTCTCAGTATTTACGGATGAACAGAAGAAAAGCAGTAAAGGAAAAGCTACTGTGTAACATCCAGCTTAAACATCTTGAAGTGTACTTATTATAAGAGCAACTACAAATAACCTCTAGCCAATTTATTTAATATTTACTGCATTCATCAGCTATAAAGGTATCAATAGACCACTAACAACATCTTCAAATTGGTTACCACTGAGACCTTCCAAGACAGTTTAGTGCATGTTTACCTGAACATAATGTCTCGCTTTAAGTTTTCCCACTACTTTCCAAGTGTGGCTTATCTGAGCCACTCTGGTTTTTTGGAGGCAGGGAATCTCTACCAAATGCTGAACTACAGTTACTGCCAAGCCATCCAAGCTACTGCCTTTCTTCTCCTTGTTTTCTCCTTGCTAAAGCAAGGGAAACAACAGCCAATATCACGTTACAAGTCATGTCTGAACAAGGGGAAAGCACAGTGACTGCAGCCAAACGTTAACATCGAGCGGTATCAAGCCCCAAATACGAGCTGCATCCTTCCACCACATCCGCCTATATTAGAAAAACATACCAAAATGAAACCCGAGCTCGTTTTCCCCGGTGCCAATATAAACAAGTGATAATATCTCAAACCCGACCCGAGGCCAAGACTCTGGACAGAGCATAACCGAGGCCTCGCTACCTTTGGGGGCCTCCGTATCCCCGGAGCCAAGGCTCGGCAGCAGCATCATCCTGCTGCAGTCACGTCCCAGGGGCAGGGGCAGCCTTTACCTGTGAATCTACTTGCTTTTCATTACTTCATTAATTTTTTATTTAAACACTGCACGAGCAGCACCGGTGGCCCAGCAGACACCGCAGGGGGACACCCCAGTTCACGGGAGGAATCCCCGGGCTCCAGAAACAAAGACCAAAGTTTTCCCTGCTCGGCGCTGCGTGGGAGTGCGGCAGCAAAACAGGAGCCAGGATCAACACGAGCCGCCTCCCGGCACCACACCCGGGCCCACGCAGGGCAGGACACCCCCCGCTCCCGGGGCCGGGAACACCCCCCGCTCCCTCCCGGGGCAGCTCCAGCCGCTCCCTCCCGGGCAGGAAGGGGACAGGGGGACACCTCCCGCCCGGCGGGACGTGGGGAGCGCGGGGTGTCCCCCTGAACGCCCCTTCCCGACCCCGTTCCCGCTCCCACAAACCCGCCCGCTCCCTCACCGCACCCCCCTCACCGTGCTGCGCTGGGGGCTCGGCTGCGGCTCCGGCGGCTGCATTCCCGCCCCTCGGCTGTGCCCCGGGGCCGCGGCGCGGGGGCCCCCCCGCTGCTGCTGACGGGAGGGAAGGAGGGAAGGGGGCCGGGAAGGGCCGGGCAGGGCCGGGATCGGGACGCGGCTCCCGGGACGGGGGTCCCGGCGCGCGCGGCCGGGCGGCGCTTCCGGGCTCGGGGCGGCGCGCGGGGGCCGCCGGGCGGGGGGCGGGGCCCCGGCTGCGCGAGCGGCCCGACGACACCGCGCGGCCCGCGCGCGCCGGGCTGACCTGCTCTCGCGAGACTTGGCAAGGGGGGGGGGGGGGGGGGGGGGGGGGGGGGGGGGGGGGGGGGGGGGGGGGGGGGGGGGGGGGGGGCGCGGAGGAGGTTTGAACGGGTGTGGGCGTGGCCAAGGCGAATGGGGGCGTGGTCGTGGCAGGGGGCGGGGCCGGTGCGAGGGAGGGGTCGGGCTCCGGCGTTCCTGGAGTCTGGCATTCCCGGGTTCTGGCATTATCGGCTTCTGGGGTTCCCGGACTCCAAGATTCCCGGGCTCTGACATTCCCGGATTCTGGGATCCCGGCCTCTCAGATTCCCATGTTCTGGCGTTCCTGGGCTCTAGGATTCACGTGCTCTGGCATTCCTGGGTTCTGGCATCCTGGATTGTGGCATTCCCGGGCTCTGACATTCCCATGTTCTGACATTCCCGGTCTCTAGGATTCCCATGTTCTGGCATTCCCGGGCTCTGGCGTTCCCAGGTTCTGGGGTCCCGGATTGTAGTATTCCCGGGCTATAGGATTCCCGAGCTCCCGCGTTCCCGGGCTCTGAGAATCCCTTGTGTTCCTCCCTTCCGCTCCATCGCACCGCGAGTTTTTCCTCAGCTCCTCTAAACGAAGGTTTCCAGGAGCCGGCGGACACAGCGCGGGGTGTTCGGGGATGATGGCCCGCGGTCCGGGCTGCCCCCTGACCAGAGGATCCTCCTGAGCGAGGTTGGGCGGTGGATGGAAGTCAGGGGTTGTTTTCTGAGTATTGACGGTGACAATAAAGTGTGCGGACACGAATGTTCTGGCACAGTTCACTGTCAGTGGTTCAGGCTGGATGGGACCATAATGGGTCATCTGGCCCAACCTCCCTGCCCAAGCACAGAATCACAGAACCAACCAAGTTAGAAAAGACCCCTGAGATCATCGAGTCCAACCCTTGACCCAACACCTTGTCTACTAGACCATGGCACCAAGTGCCACACCCAGTCTCTTCTTAAACACCTCCAGGGATAGTGACTCTACCACCCCCCTGGGCAGCCCATTCCAGGGCCATCCCAGAACACATGGCACAGGTCTGCACCCAGACAGCTCTGGGGTATCTCCAGTGAGGGAGACTCCACAGCCTCTCGGGCAGGCTGTTGCACCGTGTGGTCTCACAAAGCATGGGATGTCTGTGAGCAGGAAAATGCCCTTGTGCTGTGCTCCTGCCCAAAGGGCTCATGATTCTGGGCTATTCCCAGTAGAGTTTTTGTGTCCCTCTGTTGGCAGGGCACACTAGAGGCTGTGATTATATGGATTGATCCAACATGAACTTTTCACTGACATCCACGGGGGCTGAATCTTCCTGTTGAGGCAGAGTCTTGCAGATGGTTTAGTGGGTGTACACTGATTTTTCATCCACAGACTGGGCCTTCACTTGAGATTATGTTCTGTTTGTATGCCAATGTAAGCTGGTCTAAAGCATCTTTTCCCAAATGATAAAGACCATGATTTGTGTTTTTCGGGTGGGGAGTGGTGGTGGTGTGTTTATCTACTTTTCTTGGTTTAGTTAGCATCTGTCTTGTGTAGATTATTTTTCTTTCTTATCACATTTCATCAGAGCCGCAGAAACACCATTGCACTGATACCAGTGAGAGCAGATGCAGAGTTCTGTAACCACCTTCTGTTTCTCTCTGGTAAGGAACTGGAAGTGCAGGGAGGATGTGCATCTTGTATTGTCATTACTGACTCTCCACGTCATCTTCCATGTGCAGAGGCCTCAGCTCCTGTGTCAGAGGTTGTGTGAAGTTAATTAAGGAATTCCTGTATTCTAATCCCTGCATCAGAAACAGACCAAGCCTTCTGGAGAGGTGAGATGCAGAACTGGGAGTAAACAGGATCTCTGTGCAACAATACTGTTATCTAACAGGCATTGATTCTTATCCTGTGATTGGAACTGTTATCAAGATGCTGAAGTGCAAAAATCCATAATTTCCAAATATAAACTCGTGCTGAATGGTTCCAGTAGCTGTATCTTGTCTCACTTAAAATGGAAGAAACAGCCCTTGGTACATGGGAGTCTCTGTGCCCTGGGTTACCTGTACTGGCCATGGTTTTTTGTGTTGTCCAGATACTGACTTGATTTGTCCTGTCTTTTGTTGCTTCCAGATTTTTCAAATCAACATCTGAGTCAAACCTCTCCTCTACTGTTTCTCACTGCCTCTCTGTAAACTCACTGTCCTACAGCTCCAGTGCGTCCTGGCAAACCATTGTAGCTTCATATATAAGTGGGCTCCATGGCTCTATTTCACTCCAGCAGCAGCCAGTGATTTTTGTGTGGAAATTACACTTTTCCTCCACAATCCTCCGCAATGGACTGTAATGGAAGACTATAATCTAGCAGTTGCCTGACTCATATCCCACTTTCAAAGCAGAAGTGTTCCAACAGAAATTGCAGTGGCTCAGAATTTTTCATCTAGTCTCAGCTAGTGGTAGGTTTGGGAGCAGGATTGCTATACTAGGAAATTAATCAGTCTTGAAACTTCACAATTAATCGCAGCAGAGCCAGTGCTCTGCAAGACAATTTAGGAGAAAAATCCTTATGGGTATTAGGTGCCTGATTACCCCAGAAATCAAAGATTGTGTGTGTTCTGACTTTGCTGAACGCATCTCTGGAAGGAGATCATTTTATTGCTGATCCAGCTTTTTTGTCTCTTATCCGTATGACAACTACGAAAATTGATTATATGCAAAAGGAATATCAGGAAAGTATTTAATGTATTTTTAGCTGCTCCTAATGGGATTTAGCAGCTGGAAACAAGGAGAGCTGGCACTGAGTCGTAATCAGGGCAGTTCTTAGACAGCTGTGTGAGAACCAGTGTGTCAGACAGGGTTCTGAAATACATCACCATTTTTTTCTGTATTTTAAAAAATGCAGTACATGCTATGAGAAACTTGAAAACTAGGCCTCAATACTTGCAGCTCAGACAGCTAACTCGAAGTCAAATGGAATTCCTTGTTAAATCCAGGCCTGTAATAACTTCTAGATGAAAATGCCTCTGGGCTCTGTGTGACGTTTTTATTTTTAATTTAATGCTTATGGCACTTATTACTACTCATCTTTGAAAGGCCTCAGGTTTGGATTTAAATTCCATGCTACATTCATTTTTAAGCAGAACAAAAATGTAGTTATTTCTGCTCCCCTTTTCTCTTTATGAGCAGCAGTCCAAGAGACCCATTTTCCTATTTTGGAAGAAAGCAATTTTCTGCATATTTGTGCCAAGGAATTGCAGTCAGAAAAGTAGCTTGAGAAAATGGCCCTTCCATAGGTTTTCTGTATGAATAGTTCCTATACTCAGTTAGTTCCATTTACAAATCAAAAGCATAATTTTCCAATGTAAGCACTGTAAACTGAGTCTTGAATCTAAAAGGGCTGAGTTCTTTCTCGCTATTACACCGTGGGCAGTCTGTTGTTACTGAAATATGCCAAAAGGTTTATAAGTCCACCTCACTTTTCTGTGTTTTATTACATTTAAGGCATTTCCTCATCTCACAGTGAATTCTATACCTTGAAAACAATTTCTAGAGCAATATTCATCTGCTAGATTCCAAATTTAGTTTTGGACCCATGCATCAGCCTTTATACTTTTGCTAAAGGTGTTGTAAAACTGTTTTGACTCTGTTAGGTACCCTGGATGTTTTTGAATTTCAAACTGGTGTCAGCCATGTCCCTCTGAGCAAGCAATATAAAATGCTTATTGTTTTAACAAGGATCATGGATCAAGAAGTTGAGTTCAAAATGAAGATATCTTGGAACTTATCAGTCAACACAGAAATACTGAAGTTGAAAAGCCTAAATAAACCTCTGAGGAAATGGCAAATATTCCCAAGAGCAGTCAAAAATGTTGTTACTTTGTGTTAAGGTGGAATCTTTGCTGCCTTATAAGATTGAAGCAACTGCAAGAGTTTACATCCTCTGAACGGCCACCTGACACAGTCTGGGGAAACTGTTGGGGGATGTGTGTGTGTGTGTGTGTGTCCAGGAAATGATAATGCATTATTCCTCACTATTACCTTTTCTGTCTCTTGCCTTCTCCATTTCTGACATACAACACTGGTATCTGTATATGTTCCAGAACATTTTCGAGGTGTGCCTTTGTACTCTCAGGTTCTGTGAGTGACTCCAACAGGCGGGGACAGAGCTCTGCTGCAATTTGGGAATGACCTTCTGACCCCAAGATGAACACAGGTACTGAGAAGAGCAGAAGAGCTCTGCCAGCCTACACTTCTTTGATGTCTTGCGCACAGCAGTCCCCATTTTTATTTTGCAATTTCCATAATTAAGTTTGCTGCTTTGCCAATTAATCTGTGACTTGGAAGACTGAGATTCTACAGAAATACATGTTCTCCATAAACATGCTTAAAGACTTCAAGTGTTCCTTTGCAAGGTCTTCTTAACAACTGCAGTCCTGGCAGAGCTGTTGCCACTAGAGCTATTTAGTTGGTGCTGAAAGACTGACGAATTGAATCAGGAATAACATATAAAGTGTTGTGATTTTTGAATGTTTAAATGGGATATTTAGTGTGAGGAAAGTGAAAAGACATCCTTGTATGTATGCCTTTATGGGCATGCATTTTTGTTGTAAGGGTTCAAAGGCTTTAGTACTATAATTCAAAGGAAAATTGTGATTTTTTGTTTTGCTAACATGACATGAAGACCGTGCTTCTCTTTTGGATGATATATAAATACAATTGATTCCCTTAGGGTTATTTTTCATTGCTGTTAGCTTTGGTGCTCTGGTCAGATCCAGTTTCTGAATACCTAGAGTTCCCCTGTGGTAGCAGGAATTTAAATGAATGATGTCACTTGCTCCTT